CTTTTAAGACATGGTACTATCTTTAACTCAAGTCAACTTAAGCTCACCAGCTCCTCCGAGGTGATGTGGTCGTAGACAAACCCTGACCTCATGTTCTTCCTCAACTCCTCCTTTCAATTTCGGTACCAAAATCTCCAGAACCGGTCCTGTCCCGTCGAAATAAGCTTCGATGTTTGCTTCTTCTGGAATCCGATTTGGCAACTGTATCTCCCTCATGAATTCACCTGGAGGACAATGTTCAGCAGTTTGATCAACCAGCTTGAAAGTCCGGTCCCGTCTCTTCACTAACGGAGCACGCGACGTGCTTGATCCAGTGACCTTTACGATTCCGTTTGTAATACTGTTCCTCCATGAAACCTTCACGGAATTCAGATCAACAAAAGGTAAAGTTATTATGACCAGGTAAGCTTCTTCGTCCTCGTAGATGGTTTTCGCTGCAGTCACGGGTCCGTGAACAGTCTTCATCACTCCGGTGAAGTCGTTTACCCAGCCAGGTGGGTCCTTGGTGTGATGTGTCTCGATGTTGTTAACAGTCAAGCAACATTCTTCTTCGCTGCTTCCCGGGGATAAGAACTCTTTTCTCTTCTTGTTGTTGTTGCCTCCTCCTCCTGGAGATTGATCTGATGAGTCACCATTGCTACTGAAGGACGCGTTACTTGTCAAGTGTAAGCCCGAGCCGTTAAGGATCTTCTTGGCATTCGTTGGTGCCGGTTTCGCAACATGAGGCGGTCTCTCGAGCTCGAAATCTGTGTTGGGAAGATTTCTCCATGAACCGAAATCACTAGCATCAGACGGGATAGTGAACTTCAAATCTCGACCCGTTAGCTCCATCCATCTCTTCTTATCTTCCTCGCTGACACACAACAAACTCGGCGAAGGCACAAACTCGATCCCGTGAAGACATTGAGGATTAGAGAGTCCCCTGTAATGCTTCCTCTGCATTCTGTGAGACCGAACAAACCCTTTCTCCGCGCTAAAGGGAAACGGACGCTCACCTTGACGAGAATGTCCATTCATATAGCTTCTCAACTGCATTTTCCCGAGCGCGTTCTCGGGTTTATCCTTGAAAGCCCACATATACATGTTCTCCATATCATGCTGAACAAGAAAAACATCGAGCTTTAGATCAGATTTATCAAACCCAGTAAAACATCCTCCTCCTCCTCCATTACCACTATCCCTAACGACCTTAGACTTTGATTTATCGTTCAACGCCGGTCTAAAGTAGAAGCTGAAGAAAAACCAAGCTCCCCACATGCTATCTCCACGTTTCAAGCATTTCCTAGTGATTTTACTTGGAACAACATTGAGGAACGTCTCGGTCTCGTAAACATGTGATGAGCTAAGACCAACATCCAAAATGTTATCACAAGAATCCAAGTTCCATGATGATGGTGAGTTTCTTCCTCCTACAGACAAAGGCAGATTAATGTCTGGTGGATTATAAAGCGTGATTTGTCTATTAGTACCATTGTTCATCTCCAGATCAAGCTCTTCATGCGATGATCCACTAGAATCCATTGATAATAGCGTTGAAGGATGATGATGATTCTCCATTGACAAAACCGTCAAAATCGATCCTTTCATTTCAAA